TGTTCTTCATCTTGACAGTTGATGTAGGGTCTTCAACAATGAACAAATCATTCATATCCTACAACAAGGTCAAAACGGCCCCTAGTGTCGACTAAGCGGTACTATTGACATTACCCATAGAATATTACTGACGCTGACATTCATGTCAATTGCTATTTATGAAGATTGTTTCATTGATTACTGGTATTAGTTCAACTTGTATTTTCTTACTTTAACAATAGATTTAGTTACACATATTTTTTTGTGCAAATGTAATACATGTACATGCATAACTCTCTGTTACATATGTTTTTTTAGGATGAACCATGTGTATTACCTTTTTTTAACATGCATGTCCTGTTATGATACGAAACAGGAAAGAGAAAAATATTACTATACCGGTAGACAATAATTGAATAATTTTTTACCAGTATTGTCGGGTAAAATTTCCAAAAAACCAGGCAGTGTCCGTTATATGTTTAGAATAACGAATCCATTTTATAGTTTCATTTCATTTCATTTAGTTATTGTAACAACTTAAAAATATTAAATTAGTTTTTGAACAAATCTTTTTGACTTCTGATGACTTCTGAAATTTAGATTTTAATTGAAATTTCAATCATCAGGTCCTGTAACATTTTGGTTTGTCCTTTTAAAAAAAATAAAACAAGACTTTTTCTTAGATTTATGAGAGATGTTTTACCTTTTACACTATAAATATAAAACTTTTAGTTATAAATGGTTTATAAACATGACTTCAAATTTCTTGTTTTAACACCCAAATATTTTAATGTTAAAAAAGTAGAGAAATCTATAATCTAATAAAACAATTGTATCACTAACATATTACTTTTCACTAAGTAGCAGAATAATCAGTATTATGTTCAAAAACTGTGTTAAGAGCATTCAATTTGGATAGCATAAATAGATATAAGAAGATATGGTATGCATGAGTATGCTTGGGTGCCAATGAGACATCTCTCCATCCAAGTCACAATTTGTAAAAGTAAACCATTATAGGTCTAAGTACGGCCTTCAACAAAGGCATGTTTTATAGTACAAAACAGTAACAAGCTAGACTAAGTATTTTGTGTATATAAATGTTCATATTAAACGGGTTCCTGTTCCAGTTGAATCATGGGAAAGCTAGATCACATACACAAAATAAAAATACAGATGACTTAACAACTTGCATATTTACAAAATACATTTAGTTCAATAAATACATGACAATTTGATAATTGAAAACAATTAACAAAACTGGAAAATAAATAAAATTAAAGAAAACATTTACAAACCCTTAATATTGACGAATTAAATTGGTTTCATTCTCAAACTTTGCACAAATTAACCTACTTCGATGTTTTCTCTACGATTTGACTAAAATCATCAATACTTTATAAGTCAGTCGAAATGAATAATATGAACTATTAAGCTATTTAAATAGAATAAAACACAAAAACAAAATACTTTTGTCGAAATAAAAATACTTTAGAATATAACTACTTAATTGGACTTGAAAATAGTCAAATCTATGAATTGAAAATAGTCTATACGCGCAATTGTATTTGAAGAATGCAATATTACAATGTGACACCAAGATAGTTCGACTCTGATTCTAACATAGAAAAGCTACATAAAAACAATAATTAATGTTCAAACGATAACATCTAGGATTATTACAGTGTGACACCAAGATAGTTCGACTCTGATTCTAACATAGAAAAGCTACATAAAAACAATAATTAATGTTCAAACGATAACATCTAGGATTATTACAATGTGACACCAAGATAGTTCGACTCTGATTCTAACATAGAAAAGCTACATAAAAACACTAATTAATGTTATAACGATAACATCTAGGATTATTACATTGTGACACCAAGATAGTTCGACTCTGATTCTAACATAGAAAAGCTACATAAAAACAATAATTAATGTTATAACGATAACATCTAGGATTATTACAGTGTGACACCAAGATAGTTCGACTCTGATTCTAACATAGAAAAGCTACATAAAAACAATAATTAATGTTATAACGATAACATCTAGGATTATTACAGTGTGACACCAAGATAGTTCGACTCTGATTCTAACATAGAAAAGCTACATAAAAACAATAATTAATGTTATAACGATAACATCTAGGATTATTACAGTGTGACACCAAGATAGTTCGAATCTGATTCTAACATAGAAAAGCTACATAAAAACAATAATTAATGTTATAACGATAACATCTAGGATTATTACAGTGTGACACCAAGATAGTTCGACTCTGATTCTAACATAGAAAAGCTACATAAAGGAACAATAATTAATGTTATAACGATAACATCTAGGATTATTACAGTGTGACACCAAGATAGTTCGACTCTGATTCTAACATAGAAAAGCTACATAAAAACAATAATTAATGTTATAACGATAACATCTAGGATTATTACAGTGTGACACCAAGATAGTTCGACTCTGATTCTAACATAGAAAAGCTACATAAAGGAACAATAATTAATGTTATAACGATAACATCTAGGATTATTACAGTGTGACACCAAGATAGTTCGTCTCTGAGTCTGACATAGAAAAGCTACATAAAGGAACAATAATTAATGTTATAACGATAACATCTAGGATTATTACAGTGTGACACCAAGATAGTTCGACTCTGATTCTAACATAGAAAAGCTACATAAAGGAACAATAATTAATGTTATAACGATAACATCTAGGATTATTACAGTGTGACACCAAGATAGTTCGACTCTGATTCTAACATAGAAAAGCTACATAAAAACAATAATTAATGTTATAACGATAACATCTAGGATTATTACAGTGTGACACCAAGATAGTTCGACTCTGATTCTAACATAGAAAAGCTACATAAAGGAACAATAATTAATGTTATAACGATAACATCTAGGATTATTACAGTGTGACACCAAGATAGTTCGACTCTGATTCTAACATAGAAAAGCTACATAAAGGAACAATAATTAATGTTATAACGATAACATCTAGGATTATTACAGTGTGACACCAAGATAGTTCGTCTCTGAGTCTGACGTAAACTACAGAAAGGAACAATAATAAATGTTATAACGATAACATCTAGGCTTATTGAGGCGGTATGGGGGACTAAACAAAAACTGTCAGATTTTTTTCATACTTTCCCAAAAAAGCAGGTTCTATCTTGCTATCTAGAAAACATATAATTTATAGGTCATTGAAAAGATTATATATTGAAAAGCATACATAATTTGTACGATGATGATGATTTTAGAGTCCGTAAATTTAGATACGATCTGCAAAAGCTTATACATCATTTAAATAAACCTTTTCTAAACGGTTATGAATTTAGCATTGTAATAAAATCTTTAAATATTGTTTTTATCGGTACTTAATTTGATTTTCTCACAAAACAAAATCTAAATATAACTAGTTATGCATTACTCTACAGTTATTGACACTTACGGTTCCACATCTTTTCGATACCTTTATTTTGGTAATGCACAAGAGCATATTGTTCTAGATTGTTCGTGACGTCTACACACTAAATCCATTGAATTTGTACTGATTGATATTATGTCGTAGATACAAAATTGCTCTACAGTTATTGACACTTACGGTTCCACATCTTTTCGATACCTTTATTTTGGCAATACACAAGAGCATATTGTTCTAGATTGTTCGTGACGTCTACACACTAAATCCATTGAATTTGTACTGATTGATATTATGTCGTAGATACAAAATTTGTTTTATTAGTTGTTATTGGCTTCCAACTAGCTTTTAGTTAATGCGAGAACTCTCAGATCGGTACTATGTGTCTTTAGTGTCTTGAAAAGTTGTCGATATGATGATTCAAGCCCTTATCCACTGATTGTTCTCATGTTTTGCTGTTACATTATTGTCCTAGGTTAGGAGGAAGTTTTGGCGACGCAAACATGTTAAATCTGCCACATTCTGTATGTGCCTGTCGAAAGTCAGGAGCCTGGTATTAAGTTGATGTCGTGTGTATGATATCAAATTTGTTTTTCGCTTGTTGTTTTGTACACAAATCAGGCTGTTGGTTTTATCGTTTGAAGTGTTTTACATTAAGTCATGTTGGAGCCTTTTATAGCTTGCTATGCGGTATGTATTTGGCTCATTGTTGAGGGCCGAAAAATTACTATACTTGCAAACATCTATGTAATTTGGTCTCCGGTAGACAGTTGTCTCATTAGCAATAATACCACACCTCCTTATTCTATATTATTATGTGGATAGAGGGAAAACTAAACGACAGAATTTTGAAACAAAATACGAGAAAATAACTGATATATGGCCTTTTTTGTATTCACCACAAAAGTGTTTTTTTATAAATAATCTATGCACAAATGGACAATTTTCCACGACTTGAAAAATAGTACGGTGACCCATACTTTTTATTATATTTTTGAAAAAAGCATGGTAAAATCTACATTTTGGCAAGAATAAAAAAATTCTAACTGAGGAAATATATAAACTGACTTTAAGCCTGATATTATCAACAAGAATATGATGTAAATATTGTTCAGTGATATTGTTGGAGGAGATATTTTTATTCATATTATGATTGTGAACCGAAACTACTCAAAAGAGGTGTGCCTACATTGACAGAAATTATATTTCAGATTACAGATTACTGTTGGCATTTTAAAAAGAATATTTCGTTTATCTCAAAATGAACTCCGTAGACAAAAAACCAACACTTTCGTGTGAACGGACTGGAGAATATTTCTAATTACCTCATTGCCTTGTCTGACAGCAATCAAACAATTAAAGATTTAGAGGATATATTTTGAGTATACATTTTTCATGAAGGAAAGATCAATAAAAGAAGCTACTCCTACTCTTTTCGAATTTCGACTATTTTGTTTGTTTCTATTCATCTCTATGAAACATGCATATTGATTTTATTTGCATGTATTTTATATGTTAAAGTTTCGAATTACAGTTAAATCGCATGTCAAATGGTTCAACATGGAATTCAATGATATAATATAAGCCGGCTGCCTTCAATCCGTTACTTCCCAGCTCAGTCATGTCGAGGATGAAGTCTGCAGTCAGTATAGTTGTTATGATAGTTGTAACACAAATAGGACAAACATTTGCAGCTTGCAAGAAAGGTAAAACAAACTTCATAAATACATGTTTCTTGCAATTTTAAAAGTAGTTGATGAATGTTTAAAACTATTGAAAGTTGTGTGTTCAGTACTGGTTCTATAGCTTATTAATTATGATACACCAATTATATATTGTAATTGAAAACCATACGTGTCCTTATTCTGTATAAAAAAAAGGAGGATATCTGTATGGTGTGGAAAAATGTACGGATTGGAATTATATACACTAATTGACAGATTATGAAGGTCATAGCAAGTTTGTGGTCTTAAAATACAACTATATCCCTAGGTGAGGCCGAGGACTCTCAGGAAGATTAGTTTTAACTAATGGGATTATCCTCTTGAAATAAAGATTATTTATTCATTTATTAATTTATTTCAAGTACAACAAACTTAATATTATCCTCATAACAAGTCATTGAGAAGTGTTTCATTATACCAAACAAGATAACTTTGTAACAAATCTACAATACATCACCTGGAAAAATACAAATAGCCACATATGCATGCTTAAGATGAACTATAAAGTTTTTTTTGTGGTAATTGTAAATAATTTATTCACTGTAGTCAAAACCATGAATACTTGTGTAAAAATTGCTAATCATGTGATAACTGCTAACTGAAAACATTTTACCGTACACTAAAGCAGTCAAAGATTATGAAAAGAAATGATCATCTCATACCATACATTTGCTATATTGTTGTTCTTAACGTACATTGATTTATTTTCTGTACTGTACCAACATGTTGTTTTTTTTATTAATAACAATATATTATTGTATCCTAATATTTAAGTTTATTTAAGCGGTAATAGAAGTGAGTATTAAACAGCATAAGAAAGTGTTTAGACTGTCGGGAGTGTGTCAATACACAATTCAGACGAAATTTATTCTGTCGAGAATATTAAGACATCTTTAAGACAGTCAAGAATGTGTCAAGATATATTCAGACATCTTTAAGACTGTCAAGAATGTGTCGAGACATATTCAGACATCATTAATAATGTCAAGAATATGTCAAAACTTACATGTATCGAGACAAGTTTAAGACAGTCGAGAATTGGTCGAGACTAATCAAGACACTTTTCAGACTGTCGATAAAGTGTCGAGAAATTTAAAGACAAGGTTAATACTGTCAAGACATGTGTCGAGTAAAATCAAATAATGATACAGATAGTCGAGAGCAATTTCTAGTATCTAGGTACTTATTTAAGACAAATTCAGACTTTGTTAAGAATTTTTACAAAAATTTCAGACAAAAAAGAGAATATTAATTAAGTAAAAATTCATGCAAATTCAGACAAAAAAATGGTCTTTTTCAGACTTTTGGACTTTTGTTGTGCATTGTTGTACAATGAAAAATAAGTTCGAAAAAAACTCCCGAAAATATGATTACAAAACTATTGACCGTGGTAATGGTCTCAAAGCTTTGAAACTACTGACTGGTAAATAGTCTGTGGAATGAAATAGCACAAACTTCCTTTTTTGTATAGAAAAAACAAACTGTATAGTTATTGTACCCCTTGACGTCAGCGATAAACTGAACGTTTTTGTCAATCCATATCTCATTATGGCTGTGTATCATAATGTTCATTGAAACCATCTTTCGTAAGCACACATGTCTACGTCTGTTAATTAATTTATCAAATATACACAACCTTTCATTATGTTACAATAATGTGAACTATTTGTTACATTTTATATATTTTTTCGTAACTCATTTTGCAGATATTAGTTTATCTGATGACCTACTGGACCTGTTATGTAAATGTCGAAAAGAAAAGAATGCATTTGACGGTACGTTTAATTTTGTTTATTTTTTCTTTTTTATTTTCTTTTAGGTTTTATGCAACAGTTCTGAATATTTTTATATAGATCTTTTGTCTTTAGACATTTAAATCATACAATTTTTATATTTTAGTGTACCGATTAAGAAAGTTGTGAGACTTACTATGCGTATAGGTTTTGTTCCTTGTTGAAGGTCGTACGGTGACCTATATATAAAGGTTAATTGCTACGTCATTTGGTCTCTGGTGGAGAGTTGTCTCATTGGCAATCATACATGTACGACATCTTCTTATTCTTATATTTTCTGCAAATGCTTCTTACACTTTGCTCGGAAATTTTCATGACCAAAATTATTGAAAAACAATTTTAGTTCATTCAATATTTTGTCAAATGGAACTAAACTTTACCTGATATACTGAAGTTGTAAACAGTTAACTTTTTTTTTTCTTTGTTATATTTGTAATTAAGTGTGTGCTTTTTATTCATTGTCTATGTTTAAAGTATATAAAATTATTTTTCCCCCTAGGACTAACAAGTAAAACCCGTCCTGCGTTTACTGTATCACTGACTCCTACAAAAGCTCTTGCAGCAAAAGAAGTTATAAAGTTTAATAAAGTCTGGTTGAACACTGGTAATATTTATGATCCTAAAACTGGCGTGTTCACTGTACCAATGAACGGTTTATATTTGGTGTCAAGTTCTATGATGTCTACCCATGGAAAACATCTGCATTGTCACATGGTGAAAAATGGTCAGTTAAATGTAGGAGCGTTTGGTACAGGATATTCTCAAGGTACTTTGAATGCTATAATGGACTTGAAGAGGTACGACAAATTGTCAATAAAACAGGACGGTCAAAGTGGTGAGGTTGTGCATGGTACCCACTGGTCAATGTTCTCAGCTTACCTTATATCTGAATGAAAAAAAATAATTCATATCTAACTATACATCGTAGTTCTACTATGTCATTGTTTATTTTGTCCTATTGTCTTGGTGTATATTATTTGTCATTAAGGCATACACCCATTATAATTTGAGTGTGTGTGAGAAGTATACTGATTGTCATTAAAACTTTTCCATACATACCATATCTGGGATATTCAACATACCAGTTTAATTTAACTACCGTACTAATATACCTCTTTTGTTTATTTATTTGTTCTTTTATTTTTGTACAGTTTCTTCATTCGTTTTCTTGAAAGATGTTTATATTTCAAGAGCCGATCTATAGGTGTGGTTCGATGGAGTTGAATCCTCTTATAAAATACATGGAGAAAAAGACGCAAACGACTCATAATAAAACAGAAAAAACACTTTACCCTGGGGGAACATGATTCATCTATCAGATTTTTTGGCTTGAACTATGTTTAAGTAGCTATGAGAACTATACGATCGGTACTTTGTGTCTTTTTTTTATATCAGGTTTTGTTTGCCAATCTGAAAGGCAAGTTATTTCGAACTGATTTTTAGAGTTTGTTTTTATGTTGTTCTGTTACACCACTGTCCCAGTTTAGAAAAGAGTCTAACTTTAACGCTCACAAACCTTTTAACCCTGACAGATAATATATGTGCATGTCCTATGTCGGGAGCCTATTATACAGTGGTTGTTGTTGGTTGCTGTCCGTCATGTTTTTTGTTTTGTTAATTGTTTTGTTATAAATAAGAACTTTCAGTTTTACGTTTGAATTGTTTGACATTTTGTCATGCCAGGTACTTTAATAGTTTACTTTGCGGTATGATTTTGTTGTTCACTGTCCGGTGACCTAAAATTGCTTAAATCCACGTCATTTTGATTCTGGTGGATAGTTATCTCATTTGCAATGATACCAAAGCTCCTTATTTGAAAAACGATGTTGACAAATCATTTAAAAATATCAATTCCAGACACGCGTTTTACTTCTACGTTTCTGCGATTCTGCAATACCATATTTCGTGGTGAAATATCAAATGATAAAATGTGTAAGCCTATTACACTCGAGCTCAATGATATAGATTAATTGTATATTATGAGTTGGAGTTACTGGTCATTGTGTAGAGCCTTTTAGTTTCGATGTTAAAACATATGATTATCAACCAGTTTAGTGCATTATGTATGAAACTGCCCCTCTATTAATAAAAACAAAACTGGTCCATTATAGACTAACAAGGCATTAATACAGGGCCATTATGAATAAACAGAGTATAGCGTTAAGGTGTCTCCAGTGCATCAGGAGTTGCTTACTGTTCCAGAGAACCTGAGTTCATCCTCACTGTTTGTGCGGGTTCCTTTGGTTAATATTAAGTTTTTTGTGTTCTTGTGGATATTAATTCATCTTACAGTTTTTTAATTGACCCTTTTGTATCTATCTCTCCGAATACACCGGTAAATATCTACAAACCTTTAATGTGGGTAATAAGACGTACGTGAATTTAGGCTACAGTTGTTTACAGGTGTACAAATCTCATTAATCAATTCACAAGAAACACATCAAGGTATTAGAAAAACAGAGGGAATAATATAATCTCCAAAAGGTGCGTCGACAGGGTAATGGTCTCCAGCTATGCATGTATCACCCGCCATGCGAAATCAAAATCAGTCAAAGTATCATAATCAGGAATAGGACACAATCGATAAAACCTATGTTTAATACCACGGATCAAAAATCTACGTTATGATACAGATGGTTCATTTATGGTCAACATGTTCAAAACATGCTTTAATCAGACGTATTACGGATTAAGGTTTTTAAAAATTCCCCGATTGTGACCCACGGAATAAGGCTTATCACCGGGTTTGAACTTACATGAGCAACAAGACGGGTGCCACATGTGGAGCAGTATCTGCCTACCCTTCTTGAGCACCTGCAGAGATCGTCCCCGGTTTTTTAATGGGGTTCGTGTTGCTCAGTCTTTATTTTTCTATAATTTGCTTTGTTTACTGTTGACAGTTGTTCGTCTTTTGGTCCTTTTTCGTTTTTTGCCATGTCGTTGTCAGTTTATTTTCGACGTAGGAGTTTGAATGTCCCTGTTGTATCTTTCGCCTCTCTTTGAAACGAATATATATAATGGTTCAGATTAAACAAGTCTGATTTAAAAGTGTTTTTTTCATGTGTTCCACGTAGCAACCGTCGCTGTCTCATAACACTAGATGCGATTTTTCTTGTGTATTCCCTTATTTCCAAGATCCCTAAACCTCAAAATATAGAAAACAAAAATGTAAATCCGTTTAGGTGTACGAGCGACTTATAATAAATATATACTTTTAATAGAGGGTGTGTCACGTCGATATAGTGTTTTGAGCACTCAAACTTGCACCTTATAATGTCGAACAGAGAATTAACAAAAGTACTGCCAACCCAAAGATAATCAAAACCAAAAGAGCATTATACCGGTATTATAATGAAATAAACTGTCATCAAGCGGATTTAATTTTTATTCTAAAAATGGAGAGAAAAGGTATGATTACATTGAGAAAATAATCCACCAGAGACCAAATGATGCAGATGTAAGAAACTATAGGTCACCGTACGGCATTCAATAATGACAACAAGCAATTTTCATATCTTGTAGTACGGTATAAGATAAAGGCCGCGACATTACAAAATGTGAAATATTATAAACGAAAAAACCAACGGTCTGGATAATGATAAAACAGTTATGACACAGAGCAACAAACGACAACCAGTAAATTAAAGAATACTGACTTTGAACAGTCACGTAAATAATATGACGGGAATAAACATATTTGCGTTCCCTCACTCCCACCCTCTCCTTCCCTCACATCGGACAGGGGTGTTGCAATTTTAACTTGATGTCTCATTAAGGTTAATCTAAAATTTCAGTTTGTTCTTAAAAAAAACACAAGCAAACGTAAAACATTAATCAATTTAACAGTGCGTGAATGTATCAAAGAATGAATCAATAACAGATAGATAGGTCAAAAGGTCAAAGTATTATTTTGCTTCTAGATATGCGAAGTGTCTTTCATGAGATTATGTATGAAACACGCAGTACCCAGATCCTAATTCAAATTGGTTCCATTTGGCTAGTAAGGCTCAAATATTTGAACATAAATCAGGCCGTTATTTTTTCTCGATTGAATTGTTTTATATTTGTCATTTCGGGGCCTTTTATAGCTGACTATGCGGTATGGTTGTTCATTGTTGAAGGCAACACGGTGACCAATAGTTGTAAACTTCTACGTCATTTGGTCTCTGTTGGAGAGTTGTCTCATTTGCAATCATACCACATTTTCTTATTTTTGTATTAACATTTTATCGCCAGCTTGCTTGTATCGTCCTTACCGATGCATGTTTCTTTCATAAAAATTTGCCGTATGAACGTCCCCTTCATGCAAACTCAACGCGAGCTATGATACATCTGGATTTTTATCAGATTGGTGCAAACTTTACACTGTAAAAATCCAAAACCATTCACATGCTGAACTGCCTCGGTGGTTTCGTAGTAGACAAGTGATCGCCTCCCGAGAGGGAGGCCGTGGGTTCTAACCCCGGCCGGGTCAAACCAAAAGATTGGCATTTGCTACATTTAGAACATAGAGGAAAGACTGTCGTTCAGAGACAAAATAACGTGTCCGGGTTACCTTGTGAACTAGGACGTTAAAATCCCACTTAGCGTGTCGGTCTAGTACACATCTGGTTGATATCTTTATTTTCATATTACATTATCATTTTTAGGCCATGAATATGCATTAAATTTGCATATGTACGTTAAACAGCCATCCTTCTTTACCATTAAAGAGCCGTGCCGTTTTTCTTTTGTTTTATCGACGCAGTCGGTAATAGTGTCGAATTCGTTACCTTTGATCTTAATGATGCTAAAATATGGCAACCGTTTCGGTGTTGTCGCTGATCTGTTCCTCTGATTGGACACCCATTTATTTGTCGATGTTCGAGCATACGTTTGTTAATGCTTTGTTATCGCCCATTTGGAATGATTTCCAAATTTGCAGGTTTACAGTTCACTGTCACTGCGATCATACCGTATGCACAGGTGAAAACAAGGTTCAGTAAATCTACAATTTCAGCTTTATTAGTTCGAATGAAGTAAACATATCTGTCGTTGGCTCGTTTCAACATTTCCACATTAATCATCCCCGTGACAATTTTGTGTATGTATATGATTACTAAATATAATACGTAAGACAAAGAGTGTCAAAAAGGGGGGTCTTAAAATATACATATATATAACAAATCTATTACCTGTCAAAAGATGAGTAATAGATCATCTCCTTTCGACGTTTGTCCGTTATTGTGGATTCATTTTTTTTCCTGGCTATCAATTTTCGTGGATTGACGAAAACTTGCATGTTCGTGGATATTTCATTTCGTGGTTTTGCCAATCTCTGCATACAGATCATTATATAAAATTTGTAATTCGTTAAACATTTAAATTCGTGGTTCACCTGTACACACGAAACCAACAAAAATTGGTATCCAACGAATACTAATGAATTCACAGTATACGCACCAAAAGTGTTTTGCGTCAGACTTTCTAATAGTTGAATTTATGCTTGTATATTTATCATTGACATTTCTTCTATGTTCTAAAACCGTTTTCTGTTTAATTTGTTATGTTTTACATTGTATGTATTTTATGTTAACTTTATTGCAAAGGCACATGCTACTGATAAAATACTTTACATACCTTTACAAGTTAACGGTATATATATGTATATTTGTTAGAGACCACTGCGGCGTGTTCAATTTTCAGAATTGTCAGACTATTGAGATCAAGACAATATTATCAAAAAGATTTTACTCCCATGCATCTTAAGGCGTCCAATAGTTTTTGTGTTTACATTTAACCGATAACATTTTACCCCAAACAGTACTCAGAATAAAATCTTGTGTGAGTATTGATTAGATGATATATGATTGGAAACGGTCATTCATTTAGGTTTAGAAACTCCAGAAAATCAAATTCAAATTTAAAAAAGTGACAAAATTATATTCAATGTAATTAGGAAAGGCAAAATCAATTATCATTTCCCATTAAGTGGGACTATTAGCCGTTTTTATTTCAAATTTATTCCGGGTCAACTTTTGCCGCATGACCATATTCCTTTTGTCTTGCTGTAATACATTGCTTGTAACAAGAACTGTCATCAATGTTTTGAAATTTATTGCTTTTCAAGGAATTAAATATGGAA